GCATTGGACAAGGGTTTGGACTAAGTGGACCAATCTTATTGCTTTTTATTCCAGTCTTAACTGGCATTTAAATTTCAACATGAATTATATCTACCTAATAAATCTTATTGATTAGCTATAAATTTTGTATTTCTTAGATATAGTATAGCATAAAAGTATACTTGTTTTTGATGTACGAATTAGGTCCGCCGGGATCTTCATGTATCAACCACTGAATTTACAGACTTGAAACAGCAATTGGAAAGAGACTCGGTAGTCCTCAGTTTGCTTAAACAGCTACAAGAGGTCAGTAAATTCAAATCAAACTTTAGTGTTTTGGTGGTGATAAAGTTTTTTCCCCAGTTGGTCTCATTATTAAATATGTATCCCCTGACTAGCATTTTTTCATATTTTAAAAACAAGCAGAGACTTGAAATAATAGAGTACATAAAATAAAATACCTAATAACTATACTTATCTTTTCAGTTTTCTACTGCTATTGAAGAATATAATTGTGCATTAGCAGAGAAGAAGTATGTCACTGCTGCTCACCGTCTAGAAGAGGTATTAGATGCTTTCTCCAAAGCATGAGCAATTACTACTATTTTTGTTTTTAGTAAATTTTGTGTTCCATGTATTTCTTATTATACAAATATATTGTAATTGCCCTGAGTCCAGACGGAATGTTTAACAGTGATTCCATTTCACTAATAGGCACAGAACTGCTTGAAGTTATTAAAATCCAGAAAATGCTTTGATTTAAAAATGTCGAAATCTCTCAGCATGGAGCTTACGATACAGAAACAGAACATACTGTATCACCTTGGAGAGGAGTGGCAGAAGCTGATTATATGGAAGTTCCCACCATCAAAAGGTGCTACTGACCTCAGGTGGACAGCTTTGCTTAATCTGCCTGAACCAATTTGAACTTTGAATATATTCTAAATATTTTATGTTGGTAGATGAGAAGGTTTCATTAATCTCCCAAGTCACTATTAAGTTCTCATATTAAGCAAAATGCTTATTAGGATGAACTCATCTAGATTTCCAAAGTGTTCTCACTTTACTTCCCTTACATCTTACTTTCTGTCCTTTCACTAGGAGCAGAGAAGAAGGAAGATGATTGGGTGGGTGGGATCCATGTGATGAGGTTATGGTTGAGGAGGTGGTAGCAGTTTACCATCACACAAAGCTGCTTCTGCATTGTAGGATGTACCTGTTTCCAGCAGCTCTAATACCAACAGTTTATCTTGGCTAGGATGCTTAAAGAAGCTGTTCAGCCATTTTCTCTCTTGCTTAGGAGAGAAAACAAGGGATCAGAGAGACAAAGATTTGGCTCAGTTTTTCTCAGTCCTTAGGATAAAATGGTGACAAATCATGAGAGCGGGGTGCTTTGCAAGATGAAGAAATAGGATAACTCTGATAACACATTTATTTTTGGTATTTTGAAGGACATAATCTAGAAAACTTTAGATTCTGTATCCAAGCAGACTAAAATTAAGAGAAGATGGTAGCTGTATTCTTTGTTGTAACACACCTTTCTGTTAAATTTGTTTGGCAGGTCTTTCTCTTAGAACAAAGAAGAGGAGGTCTTAAGTGAAACTATGATCTCACTTCTCACTCCTTGCCTTCATTCAGTCATTCAGTACATATTTAATAAGCATTTATTGTAGGTGCATCATCTTGCTTCTGCACTTAGTTCAGTTATTTGAATATACTAAAACCTTTGTTTTAAAGTGATGCCGAGGACATAAATGTCATTAATATTTGATTGCATTAAAATTGTACTGTAATAAAACTACATATTTAGGAATCTCAGTAGAGAATCGGCTCTGAGGAATGGAAGCGGGAACATTTTACATTGCTGAGACAGCTGATGTTTTTTCCCTTTTTCTTAGATATGAGCAACTTGGAATCTTGTCTACAAACAGAACTTCATTTATACACTGAACAGTCTCAAAACGAAGAGAAGACCCCTGTGCCACCAACCAGTTCTGTCCTCTTGGCATTTTCTATTCTAGGAGAGCTACATACCAAGCTTAAATCATTTGGTAAGACACACTACTTTGTGTCATTTACATGAAATCTCAGAAGACCCAATGTTAAAGAAATGACAGAAAAAAATTATAAAATATTCTCTGGATAATATTGATGGATCGTAAGTTTGACCTCATGATTCATCAAATGGAATTGTTGTAAATATTAGCCTTTTTATTAAGTGCTTAGATACTTTATTTCCTTGTTTTCTTTCTTTTTTCTTTTTTTCTTAAACTTCTGCAATTTATTTTATCTGATTTTTTGAATAATTTAAAAATCTGTAGATAATCTGGGAAACGTCAGTGGGAAAAATCTGCTTTGCAAGTGGTATGTAATGTTGTGATGTATATTTGTTGTTAGACTCAAAGGTCTTTTTTTTTGACATGCTTTTATTTACAAGTTTCTTCTGGTGTTTTTTAATGAGTGTTCATATAATTTTCAGGTCAGATGCTGCTGAAGTATATTCTTAGGCCTTTGGCAACTTGCCCCTCCCTTTTTGCTGTGATAGAAAGGCAGCCTAACATCATTATTATTCGTTTTGAATCTGTGATGACTGACTTGGAACATCCATCACCATCTGAAGTTTTTGCGAAGATCAGACTGGTGTTGGAAGTGCTGCAGAAACAACTAGGTATGTTTCTCTAAGGCAGTGCTTTTATATTTTGGAAAACTCATTATGATTTTTGAGAGTATTATTTCAGAATGGATAAAAATGCCCACAATCTGAGTGAATGGAGGATCAGACGTGAGTAGATTTTGTCATGGGAAAAATGTAGTTACCTTCTTATTTCTTGCTCTGCTTTGTATTCCTTCTCTGCCCTGTATTGACAAATAGGGTTATCAGTGGTACCCCAGATTCAGTATTTGTTAAATTGAGTTGAATTCTAGGATGCCCTTCTCTCACTTGACTCCTGGTAACATCACATTTTAGGACTTTTGCTTTAATCATAGGAGAAGCAGAAAAGAACCAAGTGTTATTTTACATATTTCAGTGGAAAAATCCCTTAACCTGACATAAACAAACTAGATTTAACATATGAATGAATTATATTCCAACTCAAACTGTTGGTTAGCTCTTTATGTATTCACAGTTGAAATAGCCAGCTTCTGTGTTGCTTGAGTCATTTTTTGTTTGTCATTACTATTAATTTACTATTAAAAGTAAAATTTCTTCTGGTGTTTTATTTAATACTTTTTTTTTTTTTTTTTAGTCTGTTTGACTTACCGTCTTTTTGCTTTTCTCAGTTGTCTTATTTAATAGTCAAATCTAGCATTCTTACTGTGGAGAAAATAAAAACAATTTGCCATTGTTTATATGTCTTTCTGGCAATCATATAGTTTAGGGAATAAATATGCAAAGAATTCTTTCTAGTTTTGACAACAGAAAAGAAAAAATCTAAGACTTGCACAGATTGCAAAAATTCAAGGTAGTTTTCTTGTTTCTTCCCTTAGAGAGATAATACACTTTTATTTTTATTAGATATAAACAAAGGTGTAAACAAAATACCCAAGGATTGGAAGAAATCAGAGAGGCGATTCAATCTAGATATCTCTGTGCTTGAGTCTCCTCTGTAGCACTCCCATAAATTGGTCATATAACCAACCTGAACACCTTTAGTGAGAGGGAACTCACTGCTTGAGGCATTTCTTCCTACTTCTGGCTAGCGCCAAGTACTATGAAGTTTTTGTTTCTTTTTTAAAAATCATATCTCCTACATTAAATACTATAACCAAAATCCCCATTTTGCAAATTAAATCTTTAAGGTAGTTATTTAAAAAACTTCTTCAAAATATATTGCCCAGTAATGTCTGCTTTATTGTAGCTATTTCTACTGTGTGGAGCTATATAGAACAAGTCTAATTCCTATTACACATGATGGACTTTCAAATTCGTACAGTAGCTGTTATTTCCCTTACATCTTGTCACCAGTATAAACATCCTTAGGTTTTTTCGAATGACGTAGTTTTAAGTTCCCCTTACCTTCATTGATGTTCTGTGAATATATTCCATTTCTTCTATAGTCCTCTTGTTAAAGTATGGTGTTCAAAAGAGAACAAGTATTCTAGATATAGTTTGAACCAGTTCAGAATAGTATGGGAGCATGCATGCCCTCATTCTCAGTTCCGTGTTTCTAATAGTGTGGTCAAAGGCTATTATTACAGTTAACTCATTGAGCTTAATGGAAATGAAAATCCTATGTCATACTCAACGCAAACTGCTGTTTTTCCATCTTACACTTATACTTGATTTTTTGGAATTAACATTAATCTTTGTTAAATTTTACTTGATACAATTTTCAATGTGTTTACTATTCTTTCTTTTTCATTTAAGTGTAATTGATAACTATGTTTTCTTATAGTTTAATCTGAGTCAGTGATGATACTGTTGCCTGGGATAGGGCCAGATTGGGAGGGTGTTCTGGAGAATTCCAATAGAAACTACTTTCCAATTTGACACTGGTTCATTAAATTAATTAATACTCATCTCAACCTGTTATTTTCTTTGTAAGTTTTCCTAGCACCTAGGATATTCAGAGCAGAAAACAACTCTTTGTTGTTAGGTGCTCTTCTAATAATCTCTTTATGCATTTTAGACTTTAGATTCTCTTTTACCATCTATTTTTTTCTTTTGGCTCTGAGATCATTGTCTTTGACAAAGAAGAGGATGGTAAAACAGGAATTTAGGAATTCTGTGTTCTCTTTGATATCCATCAATTAACATTTCACCTCCTTCATCTTCTTCATTTAATATAACCTGAAAATCATATTTGACTCTTTAGTTCTTTTTGGAATCTTCTACTTCTTTTGCTTTTAGTTATTCTAAAAATTCATAAAGGCTTTTGCCCTTCCACTTATGTCTGAATATGTATTTTTCTCCCAAGTTTTCTTTATTGTTATTCATCATTCTACCAATAAAAAAAGGAGCTTTTAAGAAGAGAATGAATATTCTTTTGGAAAGAATTTGGCAAAATGTCTAAAAAACCTTAAAATGTTTATTTCCTTTAAACCAGGATTTCAGCTTCTAGGATTCTGCCCTAAAAATATGATCTTAAATACATAAAACTACTTATGTATAAGATGTTCATCACGATGTTACTTAAAATGCTGAAAAACTAGAAAGTAATGAAATCTTTACTAGTAGGGAAATAAGTAAGTTATATAGCTGTACAGTAGATCAGTTTGCATATTGTTGTATTTTATTGATTTTTTTTAAAGTAAAGCTTGTTTTAAAACTAATTACTTCTAAAAAGCCAGCAACAAGTATTCTATTACAGGATTAAAAACTTTATTTTCATTAAAACCAGTTATAAGTCGAGAATGCACACTATTGTAAATATTCTTTGACATTGTTTTAGGCATTTTGTCTTATGCAAAGAAGACAAAGTAAAATAAGCATGAATATTAAAATAAAGAGAAGAAATTATCTTTACTTGTAAATGATATAATTGTGTACCTAGAAAACCAATAGACGAGTAAAACTTTTATAATTAAGAAATTTACTAAGTTGTCTAGATACAATATAAAATATAAAAATTTATAACTTCTCTTTAAACTAGTAACAACCAGACATAAATTAAAATATAACAATACTTGTAATGGCAACAAATCTATAAAATTCTTAAATATTAACAAGAAAAGAGATTACATATGTGAAGAAAACCATAAAACATAATTGAATAAAAGGGAGACTACCTTAGATCAGAAGACAGCCTCATAAAATTGTCAGTTGATTACAAAATAAATTTAATACATTTCCAATCAGATTCCCTTTATATATTTTTCAAACTGGACAAATTACTCTAAAGCTTACATCAAAAATACATTTGTGAGAATTGCTAATAAAGATTTGAAAAACATTAGTGGGTAGGTTTTATAATTAAAATTGTTTTTTTGACACAGGAAATTCAGTGGAATGAAAAGAGTCCGGAAGTAAAGTCAAGAATAAAGTAGAACTTAACATTCTATCAAAGTTACATTTCAGTTTAGTGGAACAAATAGTTTCTTTAATAATGATGCTAGCAAAATTCACTTACCTATATAAAATAAAACAAAGTTAGATTCCTGCTTCATACTTCATGCAGAAATAAATTCCAGATGAATTTAAAGCCCTTTATGTAAAAAGTAAAACAATAAATGTTAGAAGAAAATTTAGGGGAAGACTTGAATAGCCTCAGGAAGGTCAGAGTGGATAAAGGAAGGAATTCACAAATTTGCCTACATGAAAATGTTAAATTCTGTATGGTAAACAGTATCATAAAGTCAAAAGACAGTAGTATACTGGAAGAAAATATTTGCAGTACATTGGACAGACAAGGAGTTGTTAAAAGGATTTTTTTCCCATAAAAACAGTAGAAAAATGGGCAAAAAATGTTAATAGGCAATGCATGTAAGAAAAGGTACAGTTTGTTAATAAAGGTATGTGTTGCTTAACCTTACTAGTAGGGGAATGGAAATCACACCATCAAGGTAGAACTCTCTGACCTTAGGGTTGACAAAAGATCTGTGTAAGACATTTTCGGTAAAGTAGAAAGTAGTCTACTTTATTGCTTTTTGTGAGTGTTTTTTAGAAAGTAATGTCTGAAGCTGTATAGTAACATATAAAATATGCATTCCTTTGACCCAGTATCCCACTTTTTAATTCCTTGCAGAAGTGATATCAATAGTATATATGTTTATATGTGTGAGTAGTATATATACATGCACACTGGAATGCGCATCAATTGAGGAACAGGTATATAACCTATGGTTGAGCCATACCATGGTATATTATGCAGCTCTTAAAAACTAATGAAGTAGAGCTAGATATGTCGACCTAAAAGAAGGCTATGGTCTATTTTTAAGTGATAAAAAACTTAAGTATAAAATCTGTGGCATGAGGTCATTTTTATAAAAAAATAAGCAGCCCCTTACATGAGTAGTGCATTAGTTTGCCAGGGCTGCCATAACAAAATACCACAGGCTGAGGGGCTTAAACAACAGATATTTATTTTTTCAACAGTTTTGGAGGCTGAAAGTCCAAGGCGTAGGTGTTGGCAGATTTGGTTTCTCCCGAACCCTCTTTCTTTACCTTGCATACTGTCTTCTCACTGTGTCCACACATGGCCTTTCTTCTCTGCTGCATATCCCTGGTGTCTCTTTCTTTTCTTATAGGGGCACTAGTCATACTGGATTAGGGCCCCACCCTTATCACCCCATTTAACTTTAACTGCCTCTTTAAAAGCCAGGCCCTATCTCCAGATGTAATCATACTGGGGTTAGGGCTTTGATATATGAATTGGAGGAGGGACACAGTTCAGTTCATACAGTGTATTTGTGCAGAAATGCGTGTATTTTGTGTGTGTGCGCGTGTATTTGGCAAATTCATATATGTGTATGTACATGTACATATATATATATATTTTTCTTTTTTTTCTTTTTGTTCAAATCTGAGAGTGAAAGAATACCAACCAATCTTAAAATTGGTCACTTGGGCAAGGAGAGAAGGGTAATAAGCTTGTGGGTATGGAGAGGGTAAATAAATTTGGGTTGTTTCTTTATAAACCTTAGTGGTGTTGATCTTAACCACAACAAGCATGTTTTGCTTTTACCATGAATAATTTTCTGTAAAGTATAAATTACTAAAATTTACCAAAAAGCAGAAACTCCAAACATACAAATAATTGTAGAAGAAATTTGAAAGATTGTTGAAGACTTGACACTAAAGAGCCACCATCAGGCGCCACTGAAGGTTTTTGACTCAACTCTTTGCGTTCTTCAAATTACTGATAATCCCTTTGTTAATCAAGCTCTTTGGTCAATAGAAAAAGATAAAAAATGCCCTATTTTTTAAAAAAGCAGCATAAACAATACTAAAATATAATAATAGTTTACTCACAGAGAAAACACTGTAGAAAGATTTTACCTTTGATTTATAAATGCAAAAAATAAATGTAAAAAAAAGAAGTAAATTAAATCCAAAAGTATCTTTAAAAAGGACATGTTGTGACCAAGAGTTTACTCTAGGAGTGCAGAGATGGTTCCACATAAGAAAGTTATCAAATGGTTCATTATATCAGCATATTGATACAGCATTAGATATAGAAACTATTACGACAAAATTTAATGCCCTTTACTAATAAAAAACTAAGCAAAATAGGAATATAATACTTTTTAATATGTTTATGATACGATCTTAAGGAAAAAAGATACAATCAGGTTATATAGTGTGATGACAGCTATGTATTACACTTAACTTTTTCTTCTCTGGTATGTATGCATATATACATTCAACAAATCATTATAGAGCATGGCACTGTACCAGCTGCTTATACCACTTGACTAAGATGGTACCTGCATTTAGGTTCTATAGTTTTAATCAGCGTTGTCTAATAGAAATAAAATATTTGCTACATAATGTAATTTAAAATTTTCTAGTGACCGCATGAAAAAGTTAAATGAAACTTGAACTTTAATAATATATTTCATTTAGCCCAATATATCCAAAATATAATTTTAATATATAATCAGTAAAAAAAATTATTAATGAGATAGTTTATATCCCTTTTTTATACACACTTGCAAATTTGATTTGCAAATTATTTTATACATATTGTATATCTCAATTCAGATGTAAATTTTCCCTAGAAATGATTGCTCTGTATTTAGATGTCATGAAATTTACAGTTGAAAAAGTAGGTTCCATCCCCAGGTTGTTCCAAACATACTGAAAATTTTTCGAATAGCTGTATTGAGTCTCCCCAAATCATTTTCCTTTAATTATTCTCACCTACGTCAACAAATTTAGTTCATCCCTTTTAAATGAATAAATTTGGCTTTAAAGCAAAAGCATATGTTTCACAACTGTGAGTTAATTAAATTCACTAACCCATGTATAAACTTACTATTATTAACATGGAATTCAAAGTGGTATTACATAAATTTTTTAAAAGCTCTAAGTTTATCAATATCACCAAAGCATTCTTTAAATTCATTTGGTATTTCTGGCAGCTAATTCACATTGCAGATTTCAATCAAAATCTTTTGCATATTGAGTTTTGTTAGAAAAATGGTAATATTATTGATTTGTATTATGAAAAAGTTTAATTTCAATATAAATTCTTGTATGTGTCTAGTGAGGTCACAAATAAGCTTTACTCTCCCTTAGAACTTCACATTTAGCTTGTTTGTATGTAGCGTGATTTCAGTAGAAAACATAAAGTACATTGCCATTTTTTATCCCTGATTATTATTTGGTAAGCATACTTTTGCTCCAAGAAAATCTTAAAGATAACAGTGCAATAAATCTTTGTAAAACTCTTCTAGACAACTAATGATCATTGGCAAAGAACATAAGATCATATTTATTGTCTTTTGTTTATTTCAGCAGCTCTACAAATCAGTGATAATTTGGTGTTTGCATGAATATGCACTGAATGATTTTGACAGCTGTATTCATGACACTTTTGAGAGTCTGTTTCAGCAAAAACTAAACACACATATATATATTATGCAGTAGAGATAAGCAATAAGAGTATCATCAGTCTCTTGTTATACAAGTCCAATAAATCAGCATTTTTTACCTAACAAAGCTTTGTAACATTTATGAAAGAAGTGAATTTTCTATGTCTAGCTGAAATTATTCTTTGTCATATAATCATGTAATTTTTGAGACAAAAATACATTACTTTGCAAGTTTGATGTTTTAGGCTGGGAACTGACAATATTTCTTTGTAAATTTGGAAGTCCTGTTAGACAAAATGTAGTCAAAGTATCATCTAAAGCTAAAGGAAACTTTTCAATTTTTCATAAGTTGAATCAGTTGATCTTTGATATCTGTAGTTAGAAAGATCTAGTCTTCTATGGTCACTATCCTATAGTGGCTTAATTGAAGATCTTTCACATTTTAAAAAATATCTTTTTCTTATAATTTTCTAACAAAGTGTCCATAACTGAAATCATAATTTTTTTTTTTTGCCATCTCTCTATCTAAAAATGTGTGTGTGTGTGTGTGTGTGTGTGTAAGTAAGAATCCAAGTCATTTACAAGCTCAGATCCTGTTAAAATCACATTTTTGGTAGGACATTTAATTGTGATTTTTAGGCGACTAACATTGTCTGTTATGTTTTGAGAGTGAACCCAAGAAATTCCTGATGTATTTGCTGCAAATGTCTCTTAATAATGTTTACTTTATTATTTAAAAAAAATATTTTTGCTTAGCAAGCAAGCAGATTTTTTGTTTTGCTGTTTTAGCAAATTGCAGCTGCCACATATTGTGAAATTTGTGACTTATTTTCTTAAGAGTCTCTCTTTTTTTCCTTGACTGTTGCAACGGTGCTACTAGCTTCTGCATTTTATGATTCTACATTAATAATATACCTTAATTTTAAATGTAAAGGTCTGTCTATAGTTGTTTTCTTAAACTAGAAAAATAATTATATCATAAATAAGTATTTGAATTTAACTACTTTTAATAATTTATATATGTATTGCTGTAACTTGTGCTGTATGCATAAAATATTCAAATAAACACATTACAGTGTTACATTGATGCATAGAAGAAACATCATTCTAGTAGATGTAAACAGATTCATTCTGTTTACATCGAATAGATTGGAAGTATTAGAAATATGTATGTGCCTGACATGAGCACTAAGTACAGTATACATAATAGCTTACACGATGCAGTGTTTAAAGTGAAATGTTGTCTTATCAAAACAACAAAGTTGCATTTAACAGAAAAGTATTTTATACTACTTTCTCTTTTTTTAAGTTTAAAGTTTTTATTTAAAAAATAAATAATGGTTTCATGTACCCTTCACCCAGTTTTCCTCAGTGTTAATATCTTGTGTAACTATAATACAGCCAGGAAATTGACTTTAGTACAATTCGCAGAGCATATTCAGATTTCACTAGTTTTACCTTCACTCATTTGTATGTGTGTGTATAGTTCTATGCATTTTTATCATGTGTAGATTTATGTAACTACCACAATCAAGATAAAGAACTAGTTTACCTCTTCAAAGCTCTCTTGTACTACTCTTTATAACCATATACCTTGCTTCCATTTTTAAACTTAAATTGAAATTAGTTAAAAATTTAAAAAATTTAGTTGCTTAGTCATACTAGCCATATTTCAAGTGCTTGGTAGCAAATTGTGGCTGGTAGTATCATATTGGACAACGTAGACCTATACTTTAGACATTTAAAGGTGTCTCAAGGCTCTGAGATTATATGGTCACTTTCTTTTAAGGTCCTTATCTCCTAAGGTCTTCCTTGGTGAATCAGAACTAAGTTCAAAATAGCTGGTCCCTTTTATGGTTCCTCTTCCCTCTACATTGGTCACTAATTCTTAACTATTAATTAACAGTATATTCTAAATATAATTCCCTCAAAGTGTGTTGGAAATAACTACCATAGAGTATATTATAGAAGAGATATGGAAGTATTCTGTTTGCTAGACTAGAAATTATACTATAATAAGGTGGGTTTCTTTTTTTTTTTTGGATATTTTACTTAGGATAAACACTCAATGCCCATGCAGTGATGAAAAAAATGTTTATTCATTATTAAAGAACTGGGATTTTATTCTAAATAATTTCAACTTGGTATGTAGAACTTCTGAGTACTTGTCATATAATCCAATCAGTAGATTAGCAGTAGATGATTATAATGTAAATGACTTAGTACCTTATTGTTAAAGAGTATAGGTAGTAATACAGTGCAGAAGATTCTTTTGATCAGTGAAAATAAAATAATTATATGTCATGATTTGTTCCATGCAGTCAGTTGAGATAGCTATAGAATTTGCTGTGCTGTTTTCTTCCCCATCATCTTAAAATTAAAGACTTCTAGAAAACTAGGGAATTTGAGAATAATCTAGACTGTGAATGATTTCTTGTTTAAAACTTTTTTCTTTTGAATTCAGATTTCCCTCTTGATGCTGATCTAGAAAATGAAAAAACATCTAAGATCATATTGGCTGAGATGCTTGGTGACACGATCTGGGAAGACTTGTCTGAGTGCCTCATTAAAAACTGTTTGGTTTATTCTATCCCAACAAATAGCAGCAAGTTACAGCAGTATGAGGAGGTAAGAGCAGAGATATCACAGGTTTTAAGAGACTATAGGTTCCAATTGGTGTCTTTTGTTTTTTTTTTTATTTTAGAGATCTTTTGTTCTTTAGTGACAGTGTTAAGAAAATTATTAATAAGGAGCAGATGCAAATTCCCCCAAAAATGGTTTTTGAAAAACAATTGTTCTTTTATTTATACTTATATCAGCTATAGTAGTAACCATGTGATACTTCACTTGTTTTTTTTTTTTTAGTGTTTCCTTGAACACTAAAATAAGGATATTTATTTTAAAGGTCTTTGCACCTTACTAAGTAGAGTCAGAAATTTCTATTGAAGACACTCTTCTTAATGAATTTAAGGCTGGAAAAACATATATCTTTATACCTAGTAATTGATTGTTTATTCTAGAACTTAAATGACCAGCTGGTCCTTCTTTTCTATACATGAGATTTGAAATTTTAATATTGAAGTGGAATAGATGTATATAATTCTTTTTTTCCCTTGTTTTTCTCAGATCATACAATCCACTGAAGAATTTGAAAATGCCTTAAAGGAGATGAGGTTTTTAAAAGGAGATACTACTGATTTGCTGAAATATGCCCGTAACATCAATTCTCATTTTGCTAACAAGAAATGTCAGGATGTGATTGTGGCAGCTAGAAATCTAATGACCTCTGAAATTCACAACACTGTGAAGGTATTGGGGTGATGGTATATTACGTTGATTTAGGAAGCAGCTTATTTTTCAGACGAATATGGTAGAATGGAAAAAGACATGACAGTTGCTAAGCTCACTGAGGGGAGTTTTTAGTCTTCTAAATATTAGTTTTCTCATCTTTAAAGTGGGCCTGATATCTACTTCTTTGTAGGGTATTGTGAGGTCCAGATAAGATAATGCATATAAAAGCATTGTATAAATTGAAAAAGTCTACATAAATATAATGGATTACTATTTTAGAAATTAGTATATTAACCTATAAATTTTTCTCAACTTTATTACTTGAGGTTTTAGTACACAATTTTGTGACAGTATAATTAGGCTTTATTTATGTCCAGAGATCATATCCTATTGTGAGAATGTTGACTTCATCTCTTAGGCTAATAATTTTGAAGTTAAAATAATAAAACAAGCAAAAAGATGTGATCTATGTAGGGTATAAAGAAATTATCTGCAAAGTCAATGGACTAATTAATTTGCACTGAGGGTACTTTACTCCTCTGATCCTTGGTAATTCTGTGTATTTTTTTGTTTTTTTTCTTGTCATACTTTACATATGTAAAATAATATTTGGTAAATGTAGGGTAATACTTAGATTAAAGCAACACATAGACTGAGGTAATCCTTTAACAGAAAATACCTCAGCCATTTTTCTTCTATCACTGCGGGTACTAGGCTCTTTTTACCTTTATCCCTTCTTCTGCCGGCCTTCTTTTTCCTTGGGGGTACCCTGTTACTGTGTCCATTTCAGCAAAATATTAAATTAGCTGTTTGAGGACACAGATATTAGTATGTTTTGAGGTAATTTTGGTTAAGGGAGCTGAAATAAATTTAGTACGAGGAACTGTGAGTTTTTTCCTAAACATAAATAGCAATTATGTCATGCTTCTGCATTCTAATCTTTAGCCATAATTGTGACTGGCAAGCTCTTGACATTTGTCTTCTTATTTAAACTTCATAACAGCCCTGTGAAGTAGATACTGTTATACCATTTTACAGATTAGGAAGGCAAGTCAGATGACTTAAACATTTTTATTAGACCCAACTTTTTCTATTAGAGATTTCCTGTAGAGGTCCAGCACGTGCAGGGCAGAGCTGCCCTTCTTGCAGCAGAAGTGGGGAACCTGCTGCTTCTACCTGCTTAATATCTCCTTTTTTTAGCTGCTGAGGCACCTTTGAGAAGCAAGGTTTAAAAACCATTATTGCAGTACAATTTCTTCCTTTTACAATGAAAAAATTGAGGTCCAGAGAGGTTAAACGACTTTGTCAAAAGTTAGGGTAAAAAATATCACTGATGTTTCCAGACTAACAGCCTAGTGTTCTTTCCTTTAGGCTTGACCAAGTCTGGGGATTTGTATTCTGTATAAATTTTAGAGAGGCTTTTTTGGTTTTGATTGAGATTTTTAAGGGAGGATGTGCTAGCCTGAATGAGTTATTTCTTTGACTAATTCAACACATTTTTCTAGTGGGAAATGATTCACTTAATGACAAGAACACAAAATCATACTGGTCTGTGATGGTCTAACAATCTAGTCTGAGAAAGGTGATTTTGAAGGTCCTTTTGTTTACCTGAAATCTTGGGCCAGTTTCACAGCATTGCTATTTTCACCAAGATTTAGAAAGCACAGAAAAATTGGAAGAATTCCATAGTAAAGTGGATTGATTACTTCTTCTGACATGCTCTCAACCTAAGATTGAGCAGTCATTAAAATATTGCCGTATATACTCAAATCTTTTAATTACCCTATAGAGCCACAGCTTTATCATCATGGAAGCTACCAGTATCGTGTATGCTTGCATTTGAATTCTGAGGATAGCGGATTTTCTGTGTTTTTGTGTTTGAATCTTAGATTACTCCTGATTCTAAGATAAGTGTACCTGACTTACCCAGCCCTGATGTGGATGACAAGCTACAAGTACAGAAAATGTCCATAACTCAGTACAGTGAAGTGGTGAATTTAGAGCCTGAAAATACATTGGACCAACATTCCTTTTCTTTGCCCACATGTCGTGTCAGTGAATCTGCGAAGAAATTAATGGAACTTGCCTATCAGACTTTACTAGAGGCGACAACCAGCAGTGATCAGTGGTAAGAGTTCAGAGTTGTCTGAAAATGGCAACAACTTGATTAAATTCATATCTAAACTGATATTTTAAAAATTGACTGGAATTCGTTGGGTTTTCTTATCCCATTAGTTCATATTTTTTCCTAGAAAAACAGTGTAGCACACAGATATATATTGATAAAATTAACTTTTATTTACAATAACATACATCTTACAACAAGATATAAGAAATAGAAGCATGTGTATGGATAAACAAATGGGTTTTTTGATGTTAAAAATTAATTACTTTTTATCTAAAAGCTCTTTAATCTCTTTAATTTTTGTTTAATTTTTACTTTTTATTTGAATTGAATGATGTTACATGAGAAAGCACGTGTAAAGAACCTAGGATGCTACCTGGAAAATGATTAATAGTCAAGTGGGTGTTGTTTTTGGTGGCAGTGGTAATAATGATAGTGATAATTGTACCATCTGCTCCAGCCTGCTCTGGCTCTTTAGCTTAGCATTTATTTTACCTTTTGAAATCCAGGCCCTAATTTACATTTTAAATGTTTATTTTTTAAAGCAATAATACCTTGTTGGGCAGCCAAATGTAGAATGGAATGTACCAAAGATCTGATTTCATCCTTTCAGGATGATTTCTCCTAATCAGCGTTGTGCACAGGGTACTCCAAACTGTTCCACATCTCCTACTGAATCTCTTTTTTGTAAGCTCCTTCCCTTCCCCTAGACTAAAATGAAGAGAAAATGACAGGCTATAGCCCAAGTCGATTGTAGGAACACATTTACAAAAGCCGCTTCAGTTTGTATCTATATATGGCAGATTTTACTTCTCATCCTCATAGTAGAAAACAATTTCAGTTAGGGCTGGACTTAAATTGCATCTTCAGATGTGCTTCCAGACTTTCAGTTTTTATCTCCACATGTTAAAAAACCCCTTTATTTTATTTGGCTCTAGAAAGAACATGTTTACCAAGATACTTCCATAACTTTAATGAATCATTATATTCACAAGCCCATCTAGTTTTGAATATAAATAGGAAGAAAAATACATGTAAAAGGAAGTATATACTCCTTTGGCAAAATAAAAAAGGAGTGACTATTCACATAACGTTCACCTGAAATATACCAGATCAGAAGTTAGGGGTGCAAGGCAATATTTTTAAAATTTTTTGTGAACACAGAACACCCAACAATATTTTTGTATACTGAATGTCTATGGACATTCTTTCCACTAAAAGAAATAGTTTTTAACAGGACAAATAAAAACATGACTACACTGCCGTAACCCAATTCTCTATTATTAAACCTCAAAGAGCAACATATGCAATTCTCTATTATTAAACCTCAAAGAGCAACATATGCAGTAAAAAAAAAAATTCTCTATTATTAAACCTCAAAGAGCAACATATGCAGTAAAAATAAAATAATCAAGTATCATAGTAATCAAGTAGTAACAGTGTTTGGGGGTATAGTAACCATAACTCATTTTTTAAAATATTTGTGGAATTCCTGTGACTTATTCAAGATACGTAGTTTAAGATATTTTTACGTAGAAGCAAGCTACACAAACTTGATATTTGCTCTAAGTGCATTTTCATCATAATCTTTAGGTATTCTAAGGCCAGATATAAAGGGCAAAAAAACCTGAAGTTAGAGTCTATTCTAGAAATGTTGATTCATCTCCTTGTATCGGGGTACGAAGGAGAAAAGGTGAAAGCTGAAAGTCAGACTGATTCTAAAAGAACCTTGTGAATGCCTTTATTGATATCTTGCCCTTTGCAGAATGCGTCAGTGAGTAGGTAACATTTGCTTGAGGCTTAACTCCATTTGTTACTGAAGGGATACTCTGGGTACTGGCAGAACACAAATTGATAAAAGGCTTTGGGTTGAATGCTCCTATCCTTAATAGTATTAGTGGATCCAGGTTTGAAGGGCTGCAGTCTAGTTAGTAAATACTGGTTGAGAATATATTGCCACCTAGATTAATGGTTTTTTCAGCAGTGACCAAGCCAGATATTCTCTCCAGCTGTAGTTTTAGCTGATGATTCTTAAGGTGAGCTTAGTTTGAATTTTTTTCTCATTTCCAATATATCCTTATTCATTTCTGTTGAAACTGTTTTTCTTTTAGTGCTGTTCAACTTTTCTACTCAGTAAGGAATATCTTCCATTTATTCCATGATGTCGTACCAACATATCATAAGTAAGTACCACTGTATCTGATTTCTGTATAATGTTGTATGTCTAAAATATTTGTAAGTCAGGTTAAAACCAGTAATCTTAATTCACAACAAAGATATTTGGGTTACTAAAATTTATAATACAATGCAGTAAATCATTTACAATACATGTTTAAAGGATATAGGTCATTTATTAATAAATTAGTAAGGAAACTCCGCCCTGTTTTTGATGGTAGGTATTTTTAGAATTGCCTCACTTTACTTGGTTACAAAACAAAAAGGCCATCACTCCATATTGCTATCTAGTAAACACCACATTTCCTCTTGTCATTCATAGCTTTACAGACTTAATATCACAAGAGATTGTTTAAATATCCAATATGATCATCTACTCTTCCTAGCTATCTTAGGCTGTATTTACCTAAAGTCTTGGATTTTTAAAGTTTCTTTTAATATTAATCTGAAAAGTTACTCATAACTTTAAGCTGCTAGGAATGCTCTCTGTTATGCAAATTAAGTATTTTAGATGTCTTATAAATGTTTTAAATAATATGTTAGCAAAGCTATTCCTTAGTCAAAGTCAAAGACTCTGGCTTCAAAGAAAAAAAATCATGTAATATTTCTAGTTCAGATTTTTTAACAATTGAGATATTTAATTAGGCCCACCTATTGTTTTTGTTATAAAAGAGAACTTATTTATTGCGAACCTTATAATTTTTATTTATGTTTTCTTTGCTGTGATTTAAATTTTTTATTCACTTTCTACTTAAGGAAAAGAGAAAACATCTTTGGGTCAGCTATAGCTGTGTCCATGGAGATTCAGAGACAGTTGGCTTAGGAGTTCCATGCTGAGAAACATTTTTCACACTAGTGTGAAGTTAGATTTACTTTTGTGTGATCTTGGAACTTTGGGCTAGACCAATAGTTTACAAACTTTAGTGTGCATCAGAATCACCAGGAAGCCTTGTTAAAATACCGATTGCCAGATTCCGTGCCCAAGATTTTTTGATTCAGTAGGACTGGGAATAAGTCTGGAATTTTAAACAAATTTTCAGGGAATGCTGATGATGATGCTTGTCAGGGGACCACAATTTGAGAACTACTGTCCTAGGTCAGGGTTCTCAGCTTTGGCAGTACTTTAGAATCTTATGTGGAGCTTTAAGAATATATATATATTTTACTAAGTCGTACCCCTAGAGATTTTGATTTATAGGTCTGGTATAAGACCCATGCATCTTGTGTTTTTTTTTTTTTAAGCCCTACAAATTATTCTGATGTGTAGCCCAAAGTGAGGACAACTATCTTAGATTGTTAGTTTCTGACTTTGTGTATTCTAGTCTGACATTAATTAAATCAGCAAACTGGGAAGTATTAGTTGAATGACTGCTAGTGAATATATAGCAGAAATAAAAGACAAGATCTTTTCCCAACCTGAGTAGGGAGACTAATATGTGTGAAGATTTAGAGTAGTGACTTTTGATCTTGTATGAAAATTAAAATCACTTGGGAAGATTTTAAAACATAAATACTGTGGCTTCACTCAGAGTTTGTGATTTAATTTGGGGTGAAGTCTAAACATCTATATATTTTAAATTTCCTAGGTAACTGATCTGTAGCCAGCTTTGAAAACTAGAGAATTAGAAAATAGTTAAGTGCTTCATTATATAAATGAAATAGGAATTTGGAGAAAGGGAAGGAATATCTGTATTTTTACAGATGGCAAATTTCAAGGGATTAATTATGTATAGGTATGCTAGGTTTCCAGTACAAAGACACAGGTAAACATCTTAATTCCCTTACTCTTTCTTTTTTGTTAATCACTGGAATAGTTTTATTGGATAAGGTCACATTCAGGCAGTACAACCTCACTCTGATTGAGTGGGAGTGGTGAGATTATATCTTGTTCTATACAGCATCTATACAGTAGACAATGATTAAAGCCTAGAAATAACTATAAGAGTAGTAACTTTTCATCAACTCCAACTTCAGTAATTGGTAATTTCTCTCTACTTCTCCTCCTGTACTAGGGAGAACCTTCAAAAACTGCCCCAGTTGGCTGCCATTCACCATAACAACTGTATGTATATTGCTCATCACTTGCTGACCCTGGGACATCAGTTCAGATTTCGTCTTGCTCCCATTCTTTGTGATGGCACTACTACTTTCGTGGATCTTGTACCTGGCTTTAGGAGACTTGGTAACTGATACCTTAAATTTAGTAAAACGTATTGATTATGCATCTTCTTAGCCTGGTATCTTTGTGATTTATGATTGTGGCATTTAGAAATTAAATGATGGTCCTGAGCTATATTGGAAAGTGGGAGGGCATTTAATTTGCAAGTGTTCCTAGTTATTTAATTTTATTAAGTGAATGTGCTTTTTGTGGAAGCATTACATTTCCATGACATGATTTCATGGTACATTAGAGTTCTAAACTGCATTGCTGATGTGCAGTGAATTCTCCACATCAGAGTTATGTCAGTAGAATGACAAATAGTAAGATTTGTATTGTGACAGTACTGTTAGCGTTGTTGGTAAGAGCTCACTAATGTCAGTGCTTGTTATTTTGCAAAACCTCAAGACAGCTCTCCCCTCTTCTACCTCCCTTAGCTTTACTTATGAAATGTGGAGTAAATCAATATGTTTACTATAATGATAGCCTAAGAAAAGCAGAAAATCTATATGATTCACTTAGTTTTTCAATTCCCAACTTTTCCCTTAGGTGATATAGATCAATCAGAAGAATAAGTAGCTGCTGCTTCTGTACAAGTATTTTTCTTACCTGGCCCTGGGCAAACTATTGGGAAAGACATACTATATTGAAGGTGGCTTTGGAGGAACTGGCTAATATATTGGAAGTGATTGTTTCTAGTAACGTTAGGGGAGCTTTATGATATTATCTAGCAAGCGTTTTCAAGTAGACAGAAAAGATATATGATACATGCTTCTTTCCTCTTCCACCCTAGTTTTGCAGTGCATAATCGAACAACTTTTAGAATTCTTTATTTTAATTTCTCATTATAGGGACAGAGTGTTTTTTGGCCCAAATGCGAGCACAGAAAAGAGAACTTCTGGAAAGATTATCAAGTGCTAGGAACTTTTCAAACATGGATGATGAAGAGAACTATTCTGCAGCAAGTAAAGCAGTCCGTCAGGTAGGAGACTGTTGTTAGCTCTGTAATTTGTACTCTGTCTTTGATGTTCCCCCCTCGTTTTTAAGTATTAAAGAATATGTAGCAGGTATCTTAGTTGATTCCCCACAACCCCTACTGGAAAATCTGGATACCTTTTATAGTCATATTTATGACCTTTCCCTTCCTCTGCCCCACCAAGCCAATAGGAAACTACCTTTCCTTCAGCGCAATAGTGTGACTAGTCATTAATAAATCTGTCATAGCAAATATTTAACCCATGAACTTGGGTTGTAGTATTAGCTTTTATCTTAATGCCCCTCTCTCCTGTGTGATTTACCTTTTTACTGCTGTTTTCCCGTCCTCATATCCTGAGTCTACTTTTCATCCAGCAGGGATATCACTAAGGTTTAATATTCAAGAAGCACATATTCTTCATGACTTTACCTTACCTTTATATAAAGCCTCTTCTCCCATAAACATATGTGATAAATGTAAAACTGGAAAATAGAAGTTGCAACAATCTCTCTTCCATGTAAATAGCTATATTCTTCTGACAGGTACTGCACCAACTAAAGAGACTTGGAATTGTGTGGCAGGATGTCCTGCCCGTGAATATATATTGCAAGGCTATGGGGACTTTACTCAATACTGCAATTTCTGAGATCATTGGCAGAATCACTGCCCTAGAGGTAAGAGCCATTAGGTGCCTCACCAGACTTGAGTTGCAATTCTTGTTGCAGATTGTCACTTTACTGAGAAAATGTTGAAATCTCGTTTTTAGTCAACACAGATGGTAGAAGAAATCTTGTTCATGTTTTATGTCTAAATCATTATAATGTTTTTTTCCTTCAGTTTTGTCTGAATTCTGTCTCGCTGGAGACTTGCTAATTTTTATCTTTTATATCTACATAAGAAAGTAGGATTATACTACTTCTCCATCTAGCATCTGTGTAAATTATGAATGAGGAGGTTGCAAACTGGGTAGTCCCCAGATGGATGGTAAAGTGTGAAGTCATGTATTTATTTAATCAGAAAGTGAACTAAATTTAATTTAGTAAAGTGAAATGCAGCCTTGTGTGGCTGCACTTTTCCAGCACACTCCTGCAGGTGGGATTATATGTTGTGCTCCTACAAAAGTTGCCTGGACTCTGCCAGCTCATGCCTCTAAAGTATAGATTGGCTAAACCCTTATTTGTAATAACATCCCCTGGAGAAATGGGCTCTTTCATGCAGGCAAACTAAATTCTTGAGATCTGTTAAAACATATTTCATGTCATTCTAGCTTTAGAAGTACTGTCAAAGAGTTGATGAAATCTAGTGTCTAGTAAGATGTTCTAAATTGGTTGGAAAACATTTTGCTGTAGCTGACTCCTTGGACAGCATGCACCAAAGATCTGTTCTTTCTCTCCTACTAAGCTGGCCCAATTCTGTTCTTTTATGTTCCCTTTATGCAAAACCAGGACATCTCTACTGAAGATGGTGATAGATTGTATTCCTTATGCAAAACAGTGATGGATGAAGGACCTCAAGTATTTGCACCTCTATCTCAGGAAAGCAAGAACAAGAAATATCAAGAAGAGGTTCCAGTCTATGTGCCAAAATGGATGCCATTTAAAGAATTAATGATGGTGTTACAGGCCAGCCTGCAAGAAATTGGGGATCGGTGAGTATGACCCTTCCATAGAGGCATATATCTCTTCATAGCTCCAAAGAATATTAGTGCCATTGATAGCAATGCTTTTCTCAGTTTCTTTTTTTTTTTCATTATTATTATTTTGTATGTGTGTGTGGAGAGAAATAAATTAAAAAAAAAAAATTTCTATTACAGTTGACATACAATATTATATTAGTTTCAGGTGTACAATAGTGCTTAGACATTTAATAACAAAGTGATCACCTGATAAGTCTGGTACCCATCTGACACCATTCATAGTTATTACTGTATTATGTTTCTTAATATTACTCAGGAAAGTGTTTCATATTAAATAGCAGTAGTTGGGGCATTTGCATTGTCCATCATAGTATGGGTCTCATTTACCACTTTCTGATATTTGTTAACGTAAAAACTTGTTTCATATTATTTGATATTGAACATGTTGTTTTGGTGTGCTGTACAAATGATCTTGCATTTGTAAGAAGTACAGCCTTCTGACACATAGATGGAAATTATTGCTCATTTTAGCCAACAGTGGATGTATTTAACATTGGCTTTGACACGTAAACAGAGAAATGACTTTTATTTATATTATTCAGCCTCAAACCATTGTTTGACCAGCAATTTTTCTGCAGGGAGTATAGTAGGTTTAGAGATTGAGCACCATCCACATAGAAATAATTCATCTTAAATATAATGGATGATGTTTTCTCTCAATACCATCAGTTAATTGCTACGCTCAGTAATTATATGCTGTCTATAAGCATATCATATTGAGTGTGCAGAGGTCGTTGATACCACACACAACAGAATAGATGTGGGTTAGTTTCATAACCGTGGATACTTTTATCATTGTCTTGGTAGATTATTAACGAGTTTGCATACCTTGCATAGAGAGCTCCCTGAATAGGCCTTAAGGTCCATCTCCATCCCCATAGCTACTTGTTTATCTGCTTTAGCTTGGTTTATTACAGATCCTGAATTATATCATATTCATTCTAGATGTGTCTGAATTGTTCTCAGCAAATACTGTCCATTCTAAAACAATGTAAATGAGATTTCTACTTGAAAAAAAAAAAACCCACATTAAAATTCCTCTAGCTATATTTAGTACAAAATTTGATTTATTTGTTATTTACAGGTTTTTCGTAGGTATTAAGATAAATCTTTAAGTAAGTAAGACTCCAGAGGGCAGCAGATAAGAATATTTCTTTCTGCTGTTAAAGGGCCCTCTTATAGCCTACAAATGATCGTTAATTCCTTGCTTCAAGAAAAATTGCAATACTGATATATCTTTGCTTCTTTTTTTATGCTTAGGAAGATTTTTTTCTCAGAGATTTCAGTAGACTTAGGATAATAACTAATTGAGAATTTTTTTTACTAAAGAAACCACCTTTCGTCATGTATTTTAAACATTTTACAGTTATAAAATATACATATGAAGGAGTATGGTATATGTAAGAATATACTCAGAGTTTAAAGAAAAAGTGTACCTATTACCCAACTTAAGACAAATATTACCAGTACCTTTGAAGACCTCTGGTACCCTGCTCCACATGCTCCCCACCAGAGGTAACCACTTTCTTGAGTTTTGTGTTGTTTCCTTGCCTTCCTTTATAGTTTCACCACATTTGCACATATCCCTAAATAGTATAAAGTTTAGACTTGCCTATTTTTGAATCTTCTATAACTTGCTTTTTGTGTTCAGTATTATGTTTTTTGAAATTCATTTATGATGGTATGTGTAGCTGCAGTTTATTTTCATTGCTGTATCATATTCCATTATACAAATATTTCATAATTTATCCCGTTGCTTCACATTTTCACCAGTATTTGGTATTATCAGACTTTAAAATGTTTGCTGATCTAATGGTGTGATATGATAGCTTATTGTCATTTTAATATACATTTCCCTAAATTCTAATGACTTTGAGCATCTTTTTATTGATCGATCATTTTTCTTCTATTGTAAAATGCCTGTTCATATTTTTCACCCTTTATTTTACTGGGTTGTTTGTGATTTCATTATTGATTTCATTATGGGAGTTCTCTATGTATTTTTTTAATACCAGTTCTTTGTCAGTTAACATTTATTGCCTGTGAGTCACTTTTTCAAGATGTTATAGATCCCAGTACTCTATATGACATATGAGGCTGTGGTCATGGTTGTCAAGTTCAAGCGGGGCTTAGTGAATATAGTAAGGGAGAGTAGTCTTATCTTTCTCACTTGGTATCTTAATCTGTCTATGCCGGTACCAAAATGCAGCCAAGAAGCAGAAGAGGTCAAAGAGATTGAGTGGTAGATATTTTAAGAAGGGGAAGGATGCTGGGATTTGTTTTATTTCCATTTAAAGCAAATAAGCATTTGGGATCAAATGAGCAATTTTAAAATCTTGCTTATACTTTAGAGATATTATAGAAAATAGAATTTTATCTTTTATTTTGCAGGTGGGCAGATGGAAAAGGGCCCTTGGCAGCTGCATTCTCTTCCAGTGAAGTAAAAGCTTTAATTCGTGCCTTGTTCCAGAACACAGAAAGAAGAGCAGCTGCCCTTGCTAAGATTAAATAGCTCCACCTTCCCGAGAAAGCCATGTCTTTACTATGGATTTCTCTCTTGGCATAATTACTCATTTAGAGACTTCTTAGAGTCACCCACTGGTTTTGGTGAACCAATATATCATGGAAGTTTTATTTCACCTAAGAACGCCTTACCTCTTGGCTTGTAGGAGGCCATGTTGAATAACTGGATGTTAAGATGTCAAGTGAAGCACCTTACTTTGTTGAATTTCTAGCCACCCTTCTTAGATAAGAAACTGTAGAGCAGCATTGTTTTATGTTACTTCTAGGGCCTTCTGGGAACCATATCCATTGTAAATGTAGGCCCTGGCCTCGGATCAAGGAATCCAGGAGATTCCAGGAGTCAGGGTAAAGAATTTGTGAGCAAACAGGAGATATATTTTGGGGGGTAGGGGAACCATATTTGGCTTTGCAGAAATTAAGAAGACTTCCTTTAAGATTTTTTCCAATAAATAATGCTTTTAAGAGTGAGTGTCTTTAATACCAATGGGAACTTTGACAAGACACCAACAAGTTTTCTTACCTTCTGTGCCATTCTTTTTGACATGACCCTTACAGAGGGCTCACTGACTTGTCACCTTCTTTCTTCATAACGCTATCTGATAATTTCTTAGAATGCCTAGAACTCCTAGAACTTTCATTATAAATTCTTGGCATTTTTGCTCTTTCAACTAAATTCTATTTTCTTGGTTGGATTTTTTTTTTTTTTTTGGCCTTCTCTAGCTCCATTGTTTCTGTACCTGTTAAGATTTTTAATTGCCATTGTTCCTTCAGCATGTATGTGCCATGAGACGCTAACTCTGAGCTCTGTAGCCTAATCCTTTACGTGGTGGACATAGGTAATCCTTCAGCTCAACTTGCTGTGTTTTTAACTCTTTACAGCTGTTAGAAGTACATATTCTGTTAAGGTTATCCAGGGTCTCTGTAGGGCTCTGGATTGTATCTCTTCATACCGAAATGGGTTTTCTCTTGTGAAAAGAGGGTAAAGAATATGATCTTTATGAGCTTTTGAGGAAGGTGCTGTTTGGAGGTTTTTAGGACAACAGGCATATTTCCTTCGGCCTCAACCCCCCAATCCCTGGCACATGTAACAGATCGGTTTTCTTCCTCCCTTCAAGTGTCCTGCCTGCCTTCACTCTTTCGTAGTTCTGGCTTAGCTCCTAGTCATTCTGGTTGCATAATTTTTCTTTTACCTATTAAGGGGTTATAGAAAAATGTATAAGAAAGAAGGCTGGTTTTCTTTTTATAACAGAACTCATCTGTGGTCAACGACAAGCTATTTGTCTGTTCAACATGTCCCTCTATGAGAACTCACAGGAAAAAGAACTGCCTGAACCAACTTTAGCTTTACAGAACAAAGAAGATGTCTTTCTTGAGAGAGGAGGAAGGGGCCGTTTTCACAGGTGAAGAAAATACCTGTTTTTGAAATTTTACTTTTAGGTTGCATTCTTTTCTCTGTAATCGAGAGAATGGGAAGTCAGGATGGAACTGAAATAAATGCATCACAGGACTGTCACGTAGAACAGCAGATTTCTTTCGTTCACAGAAGCTGTTTCTGCTTGACATATACAGCAGTTTGGGGGTGGGATCTCTTATAACTGAAAACCATACTCCTCCTTCCCTCCCTTCATAGCACAAAAGACCGCATTAAAGTTCTTCTGAGGCTGTGTAGACTCTGTCCTTTGGGATTTTCCCCTCTAACGAATAGTTTGAATACCATGGTGCACAAAATGGAAATACTCTATCCTCTTCCCAGGCCAAGGCAGTTGATAGCTGACGATTAAGTAGATGTTCATTCTGGTTAGGGATGAGCCATCTGAGCACATGGGAGTTGGATTGAGCAGTTTACAGGGACCTCATAGGTACTTACTCTGACTAAGAATTTGAATTGGAGTAGAAACTTACTCCTT